TCCTCTGAATAAAGCAAACCCCATGGAGCCTCTCAACCTGCCTGGTTGAGAATCCTGGGTTAAAATCTTTTACACCGTGGTAGAGCACGACACTGCCATACTTGGCATATATTGCAAAGGTTTTTTTTGTGCTGCAATCCACTAGTGAAAAATGCAACAAATATTTAGTACTGAATAGAAAACGTAATCAGATCAAGGCCTCTGACTTCATTTTTATAGCCAGATAGGTTACATTTTCAGAATATCACCAGTGAAATTGTTCATAATTCTCTTAGTATAGCTATCTTTTTGTTATAAGGAATGCATGTAGACTGCTACTGCTGACCTCCCTGAAATTAATAGTTGCCTGGACATTATGCTGAGTTAATGGCTTCAGTACTCTCTGAGTCACTGACTCAGAACATGTATGGACATAACAATATTTGGCTTGATGCATAGGCATACTTGTTCTAGGTCAATGACTCACAATGTATGGTAGCCAGTTGGTTAGATTACCCCCGGCAACTGATGTTTTCAAATATAGAAACACAGCCCCTTTTTTATCATTGCACATTTCTGTTGGTGAGTTAGGATGCCCATTGTGGTGACTGGCCAGTATAAATGTGTAGGATGGACATTTTGGAACTTTGCCTTTCAGATGGCCTGGCATTTTATCATAATCACAACATTTTGGAGGTTGCTGCAGATAAGTACCTGCACTTTATATCTGCTGCAGTTTATGCTGATGTAGTCTCTTTAAAGAGGACCTGAAATCTGGAAGCTGTGCCCATAAAAAACAGGGAGATGACAAAGGTCTAGAGATAGGTCACCAGTAATGCCTGTATGCTTGCTGAAGCTGATATTTCCCCATTCCTGATTTACTATGCCTTGTTCTCACTATGTCTAAGGTGGAGGCAGCCATCTTGATGGAGGCAAGGTTTTGCTTCCTAATGTCAGAGCCTCCAGCAAGGAGAACAGAGGACAGAAAAGTAGTGGCATCACCAAATCTTACTTGAAATCTCCTGACACTGGCATTCAGAGGCAGCAGGGCCTTAGATCTCACTCTGTGGTTACACAGCTATGAGGCTATAGGCACAGAATGCCCAGACATCCTCAAATACCATAAACAAAACTGCTATTTTTCAGAACAAATCCAAAATAAAACATTTTCCAGATTACTGCAGCAAAGTTCAGGTCCACTTTAAGGGATAATTAACGAGTAGATTACTGAATATATTTTTTTGATACATTCCCACATTTCTCCTTCAAAGAGCACATTTGAGTGATGATAATCCTCTTATTGATGCTATCCAGCAAGAAATAGAGCTGTTCTTATATCAGAAGTCCATTTTTAGTTTTCTTTAATTTGACTTTTCTGTAATTTATTAAAGCCAGAACCCAGACATTACCTCTCCGAGTAACTGGGAGTGTGCATTCTAAATGCTGTGTTCTTCTGTCTTTGCTTCCTATATCACTAATCAGATTCAAATTTCCAAGGCACATTAATATATTATATTGTATGAAATTGGTGACTGTGATAAACGTCCAACTATTGACATTTGAGGACACCACAAGAGTGGAATGTATTCTTATTTGCTAGAGATTTTTATATGCTTCATGTTTTGCAGAACATATGATAAAAAAAATCTCATCAGTGGGGACAGAGTGAATATAAATTCCTGATTATAAATGTAGCACTTAGTAAGGGAAAATCTCAGCTTTAGCATATGTTAATGGAGCAGGCATCTCCACTGAAGTATTTTTCCATCTAGTCCTGTTTAAGTCATAACTAGAAATGACCAAACCTTGTTGTTCATTTTTGCCATTTGTAGGGCTAATAGGCAAGCTATTGTCAAACCAAAGGCATGGGACGCTTGGTGGTGCCATGAGGACATGTCCCAGGTCTAAAATAAGAAAATAAATAAATAATACAATTTAAAAAACAGTATACCTCCCAAGACAAAATTGTCAAAGTTTTCCAATACACATTAACTATATGTGAGTTGACCTTACATAGGAAAGAGGTTGGAGTATCCATTCCCACAAATTATAGGCTTTTATGGCTCAGCTGAACTGAGAAAAGGGTATGTGCTGCATCATAGGTTGCTCCTCGTTATTGCTGGTGAGCCTACAAGTATTTTGGACTAAAAGTTTGTGATTTGTAAAGGTTGAGAATTCATGAAGTTTCAGTACCAAAAGTGGTAACCCCGAGCTACACTCAGGCTTACCATGCAGCATTGCATAGGGAGTCCCTGCAGCGCTTACCTTGTCCTTCGCTCCCGCGATGTGTCCCCTGCAGCATCCCCGGCCATCTCCTCCGGCCGATGCCGGCATCCGGCTTCCGTGTTCCAGTCCCTGTGATGTCGGGACGTACGGCGGCAAATTTGAAATTGTTTTAAAAATTTAATTTTTTAAAAATGATTATTACATAGCAAAACATTGCTGTTTCAAAACATTTCATATACATTTTGTCCCTACTGCTTTGTCCTGTCCCCTGCCTGCATTTTGACTGTTCTTTTTGCCTGGAAACTTAGAAATGTCCATGGTGTCCAAAAAGTGTCCCTTTATGTCAAAAGCGGTTTTAGACTGGCTAGAGAACAGCGATAGTAAATCAGAACCACTTGCAGAATTGAGTGATAATGATTTGTGGGGAAATTCGTCATCAGACACTGAAAACGATTTTGCGACTTTGCTCAGTGATGTGCGAACTTGGCGCTATATTTCAAATTTCAGTGTTTTTGGTTTGATTATATTATTGAATTAAATTTATTATTATGTTATTATTTTTTATGATTATTTATTAAATTATAATTTATGATTTCGTGTTTCAAGTTTTATCCTACCCGGGATGTTTACTAGACTCTTCTTCGGACAGATTTCAGTGAGTTATTCCTAAATTACAGGCCTACAATAAAAAAAAATACATATTTCCATGCAAAAAAATGGTACCTGCTTTCAGCACCAAAAATCTGAAATAATCATACCGCCAGGGAGGTTAAAGCAACCCCTATGAATACTCTTTTATCAGCTGGTATGGATTACAGATTTGATTGGGAAATTGCATATTACATATTTCCCTATTAATGTTAGCCTCACTAATAGCTAATAAAGCCTCTAATATCCTGGTTATTCTGGTTACCCTAGCTGATTCATACCAAAGGAATGGTCCTACAATCTGACCAGGTCCTTAAAAGGTCAGTATACTTGCTAGGGGAGTTGGCATGGGGTTGGCCATTCCTAACATACAAATCGTATATACTACAGTTCTAACTTGTAAGAGCTCAGTCTCATATCAGAGCTGCCATTAGGCGTGTCCCTGAATCTGGTTGGCCATGCCGTGAAAAGCAGGTGGGGACTCCATGGCAAAACAGCATCTTTAGTTTACTGTTCTTGTTATATTATCTAATATTTGTTATCTGTGTCTGTTGTTACCTACTTAAATGTTATACTTATAAGCATTTGTGTGATCTCTCTTTGCACATATCGACTAAAACCCCAAAAACATAAACAACCTTGACAAAACACAGATTGTAAAGGTATTACTGTTCAGTTTTCAGATCTAAAAGCATTAGTTTTCCTGAAAAGGAATAACAATCATGGGTTAACAGACATAGAACGAATGTAAACTTGGACATTGACACATATGCATACAATTTTTCTTTTCAATGAAACTGTAATAGACAGAAAGAAACTAGAATAACTAATAATTTTGGTGTAATTTTCCCTCACATTCTACAGACAATCTGGCATAGCTGTTACTGCAAAGATTGTAAAGATAAAAAGTACTTTGTGATTGATACTGCACTTTTGAAGAGAAAACACGATTGTCTGAAACAATGTAAGCCTTTTAGTGATATAAAATAGTTTCCACTGATATGAAGATGATGGGAATTTTGAAAGCAAACCCTCATTTAATAAATTGTGGTATCATATTTTGGACAAATAGCTGGCTTCACAAATAATGGTATCTATTTTGTTCTGAATTCTAGGCAAGAGTATAAACTAATAGAGGAAATAGACATATGTTACTTACTTGCCAATACTCTTCAGCTTATGTTGTGATTCAGACACACACAAACATACGGTTGTGTTCAAAATAATAGCAGTGTGTTGAAAAAAGTGAATAAAGCTCAAAACCTTCTAATAGCTTTTATTTCCATACACACAAATGCATTTGGATCACTACACATTCTATTCCAAATCAAAACATGAAGAAAAATATATCAAATTTGTGTTGTTCTTCTAAAAATATTAAAGAAAAGTGAATTTTAGACTGTTCAAAAAAATAGCAGTGTTTGTATTCTTCTTTACAAACTCAAACATTCACTATATAAACTGAAAAATGTTTGAAGATTTTGCTTTCCTTTGAATCACTTAATTAATATTTAGTTGTATAACCACTGTTTCTGAGAACTGCTGTACATCTGTGTTGCATGGAGTCAACCAACTTCTGGCACCTGTGAACAGGTATTCCAGCCCAGGATGATTGGACTACATTCCACAGTTCTTCTCTATTTCTTGGTTTTGCCTCAGAAACTGCATTCTTGATGTCACCCCACAAGTTTTCTATTGGATTAAGATCCAGGGATTGGGCTGGCCACTCCATAATGTCAATCTTGTTGGTCTAGAACCAAGATGTTGCACGTTTACTGGTGTGTTTGGGGTTGTTGTCTTGTTGGAACACCATTTCAAGGGCATTTCCTCTTCAGCATAAGGCAGCATGACCTCTTTAAGTATTCTGATGTATTCAAACTGATCTATGATCCCTGGTATGCGATAAATAGGCCCAACACCGTAGTATTAAAAACATCCTCACATCATGATGCTTGAGCAACCATGCTTCACTGTCTTCACAGTGTACTGTGGCTTGAATTCAGTGTTTGGGGGTCGTCTGACAAACTGTCTCCGGCCACTAGACCCAAAAAGAACAATCTTACTTTCATCAGTCCCAAAATGTTGCGCCATTTCTCTTTAGGCCAGTCAATGTGCTCTTTGGCAAATTGTAACTTCTTCAGCACATGTCTTTTTTTCAACAGTGGGACTTTGCAGGGGGGGCTTCTTGCACATATAGGCTTGGCTTCACATAGGCGTCTTCTAATTTGTAACAGTACTCACAGGTAACTTTAGACCTTCTTTGATCTTCCTGGAGCTGATTGTTGGCTGAGTCCTTGCCATTTGCTTTAACTGCCAGACTGTCAGCTTAAATTTTGAGGTAATTTACAATCCAAATCAGTCAACTACAACAGTTTTGCATATAGCCTCCTCACTTTTTAAGGTACCAAAAGTAATGGGACAATGGCTCTCACCTGTTTTCCATGCAGTTGTTATCGAATGGTAGTTTTTTTCCACGTCTTTCAGGTTTTGGTTGCATTTTAAAGCATTTGTAATCATTTTAGCTGAGCAGCCTATCATTTCTTCACTTCTTTATATGTTTTCCCCTCTCCAATCAACGTTTTAATCAAGGTACACTGTTCTTCTGACCAATGTCTGGAACGACCCATTTTCCTCAGAATTTCAGAGAGAAATGCACTGTAACCAGCATGTTCAACATTTGCTGCCTTACTTCCTTAAATAAGGAAATGTTGGATTTCCTACTACACCTGCTAGTAAATTATTTGCCTATGGGACATCTTCTATGCAGACTGTCAGCTTTCAAATCAGGTCAACGGTGTAGGAATTACAACAATAATGGGGTAGGTGTTTTTTGCTCATTATTTGAGCAGATTCCACGTGCTATTTCAGGTTTTGGTTGCCATTTTCAGAGAAAGCATTTGTAATCATTCTTTTAGCTGAGCAGCCTATCATTTTCTTCACTTCTTTATAGGAGGTAGGTTTTCAAAGTCCCTCAAGAGAAGACTTCACCCAATCAACGTTTTGAATCAAGGTACACTGCCTTCTTCTGAACAACAATGACTGAGACGAGATCAACTTGACCCATTTTGCCTCTAAGAACCTTTCAGAGAGAAATGCACTGTGACAAAACCAGCATGTTCAACATTTGCTGCTTCACCTTCCTTAAATAAGGAAAATGTTGGATTTCCTACTACACCTGCTAGTAAAGTTTATTTGCCATGTAGAAATATCATTTCTACCAAAAACAGTGATTGATCAGGTTAGCACATATGATGTCGTTGACTGCTATTAGTCTTTGAACACAACTGTTAGAATATATATATATGGACCTGACTGTATATTTTTTTTTTTTCCAATGCCAGTGGTAAACTATGCATAAAACATGGACATTCAAGAACAGTAGAAGCAGGTTTGTCCTGCACTTCACTTTTATTCAAACCACTAACTAAACTCGGGTCAGTTTCTGACACAGTGTCCTCTAATAGGCTCCCCAAATCAAACAAACAACATGTGTACCTTTTTATTGTTCTGTTAGCTTTCAGCCTGTTTACACAGCAAACCACCATTCAGCTTACATACAGTATATAAAGGCACAGTTGAGACTAGGCATGAGGTCTTGCTGTCAGGTAAGATGTGGACCAAGGAATGGAGGCTATATCCCACCCAACAAAGCCTCCGGGCTCTTGTTAAGATTCTGTGAAAGCAAAAAGTATTTTTTCTCCACATCAGTCACAAACCCTTGACCCCCTCAACTTGTGTAAGTGAGAAACATTCACAGCGGCCAGAATCCTACTGGCAATTGCTTCACAAACCACCCACCCTGGTTAGACCTGTGGGAAGGGTCACATTTTTCCAACATTCAGTGGACATGTGGCGGTGAATCAGCATTCACTTGCTGGGTCTCTGGCTTGTTTTCTACAATACACTTGCTGGGTCTCTGGCTTGTTTTCTTTAAAGAATTGCAGAGCCATAAATCATTTGTGGTTTGTATTATTCCCTTTTTCCAAGCCATCTACTATAACAAAGAATGGTCAATAATCAATCAGAACTGTTTACCCAATACTCCAATGATTCTATTGCCCGCTTAGTCAAATACTGTGCTAATGGATGTTCTTCCCCAATACTGTCAACATTAGAGACAACTGTTTGTACAAGGAATTCTTGACTGAAGTTTTGGAGGTTAATGCTGGTCATTTACAAATACTGCTGTCAGCTTCTGAAAATCTCTCACTGTCCCTTCATCCCACCACGGTGGACTTACTCCCTTTGTTGAGATAGTGGAGTGGAGCTGCTATAGTAACAAAGTTAGATACAAGCCTCAGCTAGTATCCTACAATAACTAGAAGGGTTCTAACCTGTTTTTTTGCTAATGTCTGGGGCCTATGTTTGAATGATTAAATCTTGTTTTTATGACCCCCCAACCCCCAATCAATGATGTAGCCCAAATTCTGGGCTGTTACCAAAATGTATTGCTCATATTTTGGATTGGCTGTTAACTCAGTCTCACATATGAAATCTAAAGCTGTCTGGATGTTCCGTAAGTGGGAATCCCAGTCAAGAATAAAAATGACAACAGCATCTACATATTCTGAAGAATATGCTTTGTGGGTTCTAAAGGCTCAATGTTTTTACCTTCATGCATTCTGTGAATTCTTTGAATGAGGTGAGACCCCAAAAAGGAAGAACCACATACTGGTACAGCTCATATATGTGTTACAGAAGCTGCCTTTCCTTTGCTTGGCTTTTAAGCAAACCTGTCAATACCGTTTAGCAAGATTGTGGATGATAATATACCTGGCCAGACTAACTTTTCTATCAACCCATCCACCTCAGGCATGGGATAAACATCAGAATACTTTATTAATCCCAAAGGTAAATGAAATATCAAATATCAATCTACACAATCATCATAATCACATTGGGGAGCAAGCTAACACTTGGAAACGATAACTCTCCTTCTCAATGTGTACCAATAACAAAATATATAGTGAAGCAAATATATGTGCACAACAAAATAATAAAGTCCTAAACCAAGTGAGTTCACAAGGTGTGTGTAATCCTTTAATCTACACATTGTGAAGTGCAACCCAATCACCAGTGTCACTCTAATCTGCTCACCTTCCTAATATGACCTCTACAAGGAAAAGAGGTCTAACACACTTGTATCCCCACAGGGATGAAATACTGCTCAGTCAGACAGATCAAGAGTTGTTGAAGGGGCGCAGTCTGTGATGCCATCATGCCAATGGGTGCTCAGGATCAATGAGAGTATTGGCTAGCTGTGCAATTGGTGCCATCCATTCGATTTGCATATATTGGATTGGTTTAACATGTGTTTTTACTACTGTACTTGTGAGTGTTTTTATTACTTAATATTGCTAAATAAAGCATTCAGAAACCATTATAAGATTTTTTTTTCATATGATGCATATGTGGTAAATAAATATTATGCAGTGGCATCTTCTTGCTCTGGAAGACCTAAAAACAACTCTTTATCTGGATGACTGAGCAATGTTCTATCCCTGTGGTACAGTGTTAATTTAATTGAATAAAATATTTTCACAGACTAAAATGATTTTTGTCGACTAAAATGTACTGGAGATTTTGGTTGAGTAAAATACAACTAAAATTAAAACAATTCAGATGACTAAAATATGACTAAAACTAAAATGTCAAAACACTGTGACTAAAACTAAATCAAAAGTTGATGTCAAAATTAACACTGCTATGGGGATACAAACGTGTTAGACCTCATTTCCTTGTAGAGATCATATTATGAAGGTGAGCAGGTTAGGGTGACACTGGTGGTCAGGCTGCACTTCACAGTGTGTAATTTAAAGGAGTACGCACACCTTGTAGACACATCTGGCTTAGGACTTATTTTGTTGTGCACCTATGTTTGTGGATTGTTCACAATATTTTGATTATCTAACACTTTATAGGGAATTTTGAGATGTGTTTTACATATTATTATAATTGTTGGATTTAGTATTATTTGGCCTTAGTTTTCACACAGTGTTGTTTTGTTAGTAATGTTTACAGCTTTTTCACCATTACCTGTATATCACTTAATTATTGAAAGTTTTTTCTGTAAATTGAGTTTAGTGATGATAGGTTTGGATATTTCACTTAGTTTCCAGAAGTAATTGCAGATGTTCAGGCTGCCATCCAGCTTAGGAATGAGCACTACAGGATTTGACCACTCGCTGTTGGATTCCTCTTTGATCCTCAAACATTAACATTTTCTATACCTCTTCTGAAAAGGGCGCTTCTCTGTGCTACAGATAACTGATAAGGTCTTATATTTACTTTGAGATAAGGCTTTGGTACACCTTTCAGTGGTGATACTTTAGGGTTGTTTTCTGCTAAAAGAACATTGCAATCCATCCAGGGTTTTATTAGGTACACATGGTATATATGGAGAGGTTTTCTCTTTACAGGCTGGTATATCTGATAGCTGACATCAATAGTTTTCCTTCTGGTATTATAGGGCCTTGCCACTTTGGCAGAAAAGTACTCTCTAAAGTACAATGGGTTGCAGGAAAGGGAATAGCTCAATTCCCCCAGCAACACAGTCCGTGTTGACAGGGGAGTCCCTTCTGCCGAGGAATTGTGTTCTCACAGTGGGGGAAGCCATCCCACCGGGAGAAGACAGTGAATATTGCTAGCAGCTATAACAGTCACTTGCAATAATCACATGTAAAATCTGGTAGGCTGGTTGTACCCATGTTGATCGATCAATCAACTTAGGTACAATCGGCCTGCCCATACATGGTTCAAACCATCTATGGCTGGCTTGAGTGATGAAATACTGCAAAATGGGGGCATACCAGGGTAGTGTCTGGTTCTTGAGGTACCTCACTTAGTGCCTTTGCATTTTTCCATGCATTTCCATATTGGGATAATGCAACTGTGCAGTCCTAAAATCTTCCCTGACTTTGCAACCATGAACATTAGTGGGAAGTTGTCAGGTACATTTGATGTAGGGGCATCAATATTCCCCTTAAGTTCAGGCAAAATAGTAACATCATTTACTTCAAACACATTTTCCAGATTGGTTACCTTTTTTCCCCTGTAGTTTTCAAAATCACAGCCCTGTGCAGCACATTTTTAACCACACTCATGACATGCTTTGCAGTTCCACAAGTGTCTCCACTGAGCACTGAAGCACGGTAGTCTTTTGAATCGCCATGCATACAAAGTATTCCTGTTTGGTCTGAGCTGTGTTTCACAGGGTCCACCAAACTGGCATGGACCAATGTAATGAGGCTTCTGGAGTCTACTAATGTCTCCACCAGCTGTCCTTCTATTGTAGGCTTCGCAAGTTCTGAAAGCTCCCCAGGTCACATTCGATAGGCTCCTGCAATATTGGGCAATCAGCAGTCACACCATCACCTAATAAGCTCTGTCGCTCTTAATCAGTATTAAGCCCAGAAGCAAACATTGCAGCTTACCAATTCCTAAAAGTGATGGCAGTATTAGTTGCCTTTCTTTGGATTTCTTTCATCTATTTTCAACTGGTGATTCAGCCAGCAAGTCTACTGTGTTTCAGAAGTTCAAGCTCTGCAGCCCTCCCCCCCCCCCGACTAACAATGCTGCTGTCTGATGTGTCCTGGCTCATGCGCCCAAAGTGATCTCTCACTAATAC